GTCTGATTTAAGGGTTGTTTATATTTCACATCATTAATCAGAATCTGCAAAGTAACTCAAATAAATGTAGTGGAGTAAAAATACCAGGTTAACCTCTGAATTGTAGTGGAGTAGAATTACAAAGTAACAATGAGCCGTCATGTGGGTATATATTAATGCTGCGCATTATGGACACAAGCGATTTTCACCCATTTATTAATTATATGTTTTACATTTGATAACACCAGTGTGTTTAATACTGGCAACTCCTAATTGTGGGGAAAACGAAAACGTTCAGTAGAGACGTCCCATAGAACATTTTGCGAAACACAATAGCCAGCATGTGTAGTTCTGGGGGGGACGGGGGGGGGGGGGGGGACGTTCGATTCCGGTTTTGGATAGTCTGGGGTGGTTTCGTTCCATATCAAACAGCTGTTTGACGCTCGGCGTAACCTTGGCGCACTGCCACTCCAACATCCAATCTCAGAGCTTGAAGATTAATCACGGGGACAGTAGTCCTAAACAATAGCTGGGGATTATGGGTAGTGTAGTGTCTTCGGCCATCCTGCACTCTGAACATTTTTCGGATTTCATATCGCATTAACACCATATCCCTACGTGCTTTGCGGCTAAAACATCCAATCAGCGAGCTTAAACCATAGCTGAGGATCTTGGGTAATCAGTTCTACGTCTGTTTCCGGTTATTTTTATTTTTAAATTCAGTTCCTGACGGACGCCAAAAAAGCCCGAGATTATGGAATCAAACAAATAAATAAAAACAAGGATAATTGTGTGTTATTGGTGAGTAAATAACAGTGTGTTATTTAGAAAAGAATAACAAATTAGAAGGAAAAATAAATAAATACAGATTTCAGTATTTTGAGGCTCTGAGCCCCATTACTTGTAAAGCGCTTTGAGCACCTGTAAAAGCGCTCTAATAAAAAATGTAATGCATTATTATTATTATTATTATTTATTTTCCTCACAGACGACAAAAAAAGTCCGACATTATACGATTTAAAATAAAAACAATAATCCTGGCTAGATATTGAGTAAGAACATGTTTTTATGAACCCCACAGCTTCCGGTCTTCCAAGACCCGAACGGACAAAAAGACGTGCTGCATTGCTTTTAAAATCGTTCTGTGTGACACGAAAAAAAGGGGGAAATCATGTTGGTGAACACGAATCAATAGATTAAATGTCGTGACTATAACACGAAATGCCGTGAGACTGGGTTGGCTCCTCATATCTGTTCAGAAACTAGACAACAGTTAAACAAGTAGCCTACAAACCACAGACTGACTGTGTCATGGTGAATACAGTCGCTGGTTTATTTATGTCTGTATAGGCCGTTGTTGTGAGTGTGGACGGTCGGAGCATATACTGCGTTAGCTTAGCCGATCTCCATTCAGAAAACACGCATTTTAAAAGGTTTTCGCCTGCCGTCTGTCTGCAGACTTGTCAAAGCATTAATTCATGGTTTTTACTAACCGGTATCAGTATGTTGGTACTTCGGCATCATTTTGAAACGTGTATTACAATTAAATCACGGTAAAATATGTTCATTTTGTTGTAGTTGCCAGCGATTCTCTCACTAGTTTAGCATACTCAGCCCGGTTGTTGGCCCGGAAAGAACCTCGATTTTGGAGAGCCAGAAAACTGTGAAAAAGTACCCGCTAGCCGGAACTACGCCTAGTGGAAACGCAACCAAAAGCAGGCCGGGCACCGCACGGCACGCTTAAACCGCGCTCCGCGCTGTAGTGGAAATGTGTCATAAGTGGCCGAACAATCACAACAGAGCCGGCCAGCTAACCAATCAGAGCAGACTGGGCTCTGGTTTCAGACAAAGGGTGAAAAGAGGAGCTGCAGCACAGGCAGTATGAGAAAAATAAAGAGCTTTTTGAACATTAAAGCATGTAAACATGTCACAGTAGAGGCCAAAAGTACAAATATGAACCTGACATTTGGATAATAGGGCCCCTTTAAACACACAAAAGTGCTGCCAATAAGTGAGTTTATTCTGAATTTATATATTTTTTCTCTCAACTATATATGATGTGCTTTAATTTCACATATATGCTTCGATGCCTCTGAATCAGATCTCTGTCCAAACCTCCTGGCTCTTCAGCAAGTTGCGGTGGCTTTACTCCCTGAGTGCTGAGTGAATAGCTTCAGATGTCTGCCAAGAACAAGACAAGGAACTCTTTCAGCACAACTTTGTGTTTCTTAGTTAACTTCTGTATCAGTGGGCATACCTTGGAGAGCGACACGGAGCAAAAAGGGAAACATGGTGAAGTCTGAATAAGAGGAGCGTTGTCCCACAAGTCATTGCTGCATTCAGTTTGATGTTTTTATCCCATTGCTCTTTGTGTGTCATCTGAAAGACAACGCCTGATACACTCCTACTTAAGATCATCATTTGAGAACAATGTAATGTAAGCCATGCAGTAAGGAACATTGTTTTTACTTTACACTACAACAATCTCTGCTATGATCTCAAAGTGATCTGTTACAAAGAATGGAAAATAAACACTTGAAACAAATACATATTGGCATTCGAAATGTTGTGAATTGGAAACATTTGTGAAATGTAGTTATTTTGATTGTCAAATGGCATTTTTGTTTCACTATGGTTTTGTATTCACATTTAGTCAACTTAAAGGGAGGGAATGCTCATGACACGCATTTTTAAATAATTATCATCCGATAAAACAGACCAGTCTCTGCCAGTCTTTTTTTTTTTTTTAATCCGATGACGTTATCAGTGATTTTAAACTGATTAATTACCGAAATAACATCAACCCTGTGGGCGGCGCCATTTTGACGAGTCACATGACTTATTTTACCGGAAGTGACGTGAACTATGCATTTGGTGTCGAGGACAAATTGACGGATGTGCTTTGTTCAAGTTGTTTACTCTAGTTACTCTCACAATTCTAGAGAAATATGCCTCATTGTATCGCGAAACATTGCCACAATTCGGATAGGAACAATCCACGGAATGTTCGGTTCCATCTATTGCCAACGGGTAAGCGTAGGAAGTACGTTCGGAGGCAGTGGCTAGCGAAATGTGCTCGGCCCGAACCGAAAGATCCACAGGCGCATGTATGCAGCGAACATTTCAAGTTTCCGGACGACTACTCTGAGAGTCTGATGAAACATAAAATGGGATTTATTAATCAACCATTACTTAATGGGGATGCAGTGCACTGCCAATGCCAGCCAGCGTAAGCACCTTACGCAGCAGACTTTACTTATTGTTTACTACGTAAGGGAGCATGAATTGTAGGACCCAGAGCGCACGGAGCACAGAGCGGACAGCAGATAACGGAATTGCAGTTTTATTGCTTATAGATTATCAGAACATTTCAAAGGGACACAGTCACATTGGATATTAACCTATGGATTAACTACATCATCGTTTTTATTGTTGTAATGCCATTGAAGACCAGTTTAGACTAGACAAAGACCAAGGTAAGCCATGTTAGCCTAGCGCATGTTAGTACCTACCGCCACTTGTTTTGATGTACGTTTTTGTTGATAACGTCGCGAGTTTGTATCTTTCAGTGTTGAGGTGAGCACCGTTAGATTCTGTGTCTTTACGATCATAAACGATGTGTTGGATGTGCAGCTAGGATAAGTAATAAGGGAGCTAGGAGTGATTTTCGGTGCAGTAATAGGTTAGCATTTTTCGCTCTGGGCTAATTCAGAGGCTCACTGTTAGCATTCTGTGTTTTTTTTGAAGAAAAAAATGAAAAAGATCAGTTAAATTAGTTTTTTTCCCGTTATATGGATATAAAATATTCATAGTTTATTAAATAGTAAGGTTCCTTAGACGTTGTTTCCTGCAAATGACACGATTTCGGCCCCGGAACCGGGTCCGTGGGGCCTAAGAGGATAACAGAGTATGTTTTTTATTTTTTTTACAGTTATATTTGGATGGAATGAATACCTATAGTGATAATTCAAAGCAAGTCCGCCTGGACTTTATTTTTCTAAACTTCTTCCTCGGCTGACGAGTCCGAACTCAAATACTCCGCCATGTTTTCGTCGTGTGTTTACAAAGTGAACGCATAGATGACGTCACGACCTAGTTTTTCGGATCATGTGACTACTGAAAATGGCCAAAATGTCAGCTGCCTGACGGAATATACAGGTTTTGATTAAAAAAAAATCATTATTTACCGGGGAATATCGCTGATTTCTTCAGGGTATGGTTTAAACATAATGTTTCACTAAATACTGTTTAGTTTTGATTAACTATCTAATGACTGGAGCCTTCCTTTAAGAAGCTTCCCATTGCCCATGAGTGGCAATCCATTGTTGGTGGATTTAAGAGGTGGTAACTAAGCACATTGTTAAAAAGCTCTATTTTGACTTGTTCAAATGATCACTTGAACAGTCATTGAGGTCACATAGAAGATTATAGGAGACAGATAACTTCAGGTTTGTATTGCTCATGTAAAATCTTAAAGTTAGATGTGTTCTTTAGCTTGTAATTGATGTACAAAGGTGTGTGTGTGTGTGTCTGTTTGTGTGTTTTGGGATCTATGCCTTTAAATGTGTGAAGTCTGTTTTTATCTCATATGTTCACTTGAGTTCTGTATTAATATTTCAATGTTTGTGTGTTTTGTTGTGATGTTTGTGTTTGATGCCACAAATTCCCGCAATCCAAGTAGAGTTTTCTCAAAGTTTTCTCAAGTTTTTTCAACAACAAAAAAAGTGTTTGAAAACGTACTTTTATGGATAATTTCTTTATGTTTCTGACCTGTTTTAAAGTGAGAACTCAGTAGGGTTAGCTACTCAATAGGCTGAATCTTGATATCTGTAGAGCACGTACTGATCTTAACCAAAAAATGTACAGATTACCACATCGCTTTCAGGTTGCTACTACCTACCTACATTGGGTTTTAATCCGAAATATTGCCAAATAGTCCTCTGCCATTGTGTTATCAGTATTCACCCTGTATTTTTAGCCTGAAGCTATTTGTTTTGCTTTATGCAATGTGTGTATTGCAGGTGTGCTCTGGTTGTCGGTGGTGTCCGAGGTGCTCTATATCCTGCTGCTGGTGGTTGGCTTCAGTCTGATGTGCCTCGAGCTTTTCCACTCAAACAACGTCATCGACGGACTTAAACTCAACGCCTTCGCCGCTGTCTTCACCGTGCTGTCGGGTAAGATGGGACGCCTGAAAAGACATGCGAAACCTCTTAACCTTTTATGGCCGTTCCTCCGGGGAAGTAGTGCACATCGTATTATTTTAACACATTTAGACATGAGGATAAGTAGTTGGAGATTTGTCAGAGGTCGCCCGTGGTCAGAGGTTATCCCCTGGAAGCTGTCGCTGTGTAGGATTGTAGGATTTCTTCCCCCAACTCATGTTAAACCTCTTATACAAGAAGTTGGCTCCATTTCAACCATGTTGCAAACGGCTATCCTTTTCCTCACATTAAAGCACATTTACAGGCACTATAACTAAAACATGATAAACACTACATCATTAATTAAGTGTGTAAAGTGATTTTTTTTCACAACAAGCTAAACAATTATCTTGACCTCAATGTAAAGGTTATGTTCATTTAGGTTCATATTTTTATTTTGTGCCTCTACTGTGACATGTTCAAAAAGCTCTTTATTTTTCTCATTCTGCCTGTGCTGCAGCACCTCTTTTCACCCATGAAAGTGTGCGGGAGAGCAACTCTCTCAACTTTGGGATTTTAGCCTGCACAAAAATCAATATAACACTACAGGAAAGGGAAACCATATAGCATAATGATATAGTACTTTTTCTTGAGTTACCAAGTGGACAATAAGCATGTTTTAAAATTATGCTAAAGTAGTTGTCACAATGGTAAAAAGTGAAGCCTAGTGGTGTTGGCCAAGCATGATGACGTCAACCTGCTTTTTATATATAATTTTGTACATTAACATTTTTGACGGGTAGCATCAAAGCTACAATGAATACTGTATAACACCCAGTAAAGCAGATGAACCATGTACTCTTACTGGCATGTGACACACACACAAAAACGAGTCAAGGTCGAGAAGAAATTAACACACACACACACACACACACACACACACACACACACACACACACACACACACACACACACACACACATACACACACACACACACACACACACACACACACACACACACACACACACACACACACACACACACACACACACACACACACACAAAGATTGGGATGTATAACCTTTTCATTCATTTCTCTCATTTCCTCATTTACATTTATGGCTTTCTTGATTTACTGTATGATTATGAGCGATTGTTACCCTATCTCTAATTGATTGGGTGTCTCATGTTAAATCAATTGGTGCCGTATAATGACTAATTATCATACGTTACATGTGTTCTGATTTATTACTGATAATATGTTGAGCTGCGAATAGCGAAAGTGATTTACTGTTGTTCGGTTAATTGTAATTATCCAGGCAGATTATCATTTTGTAAAAAATAGGAAACACACTGAGGGTGTACAGCAGCATTCGTTTAAAGTGTTGAAAGGGAGGGGTTAATAATGTAAACCCTGATGTTGGTGCAAGAGGAGAGGGGATAGGGTTATTACAAAATCTGTAGGGTTCATCCTCTGGGAAGCATTTACCAACTAGAGAATGCAATTCCTGAAGAAATTGCTAGTGGGAATGCTTTATGCTGAAAGGTTGACGCTGAATTGCTATGCTGAAATGTAATGTGTAAGAAGAAAGTGAAGAATTTAGATTGAAATGATACATGAACACTGGGGGCTTGAATGTGTGATGAGAGAAGAAAATAAAGTAAAAAAGCTTGGAAAAGCAGCAGAATATTTGAACTGCAAACTTTTGAACTAACTTGATGGCGAATGATCTGTCACCATGCCAACAGTATTTGATGACACCCCATAATACGCTTAAATGTTTTGATGGCTGCATCGTTACCAAACCTGTGAAGTCTTGGGCCGTTTGGAGCACTGAAGTTAAGAGAAAACCGTGTTTCATAGTGAGCATTGTGTTGCTATGGCAACAACATTTGAAGACATTTCAAAACTGTCACGTAGCTGTCTTCACGGCTGGACTGTTAGCACACATGTGAAGTCTGAGCACTTTTTGACCATTTATATAATAGCGTGTTTTACGGCGAGGGATGGCAACAGCTTTTGAGGAAAACTCACTAAAGGCACATAGACATGTTGAGGGCCGGACCATTAACTGTCATCTGAAGTCTGGTGGTGTTTTGACCATTTTCATATCAGTTACGACAACATCGTGTTTTTTGGCGATGGATGCGTTTCCATGGCAACAGCCTATGGTGAGATCTCAGATTTGGCGTATTGCTGTTGAGGCATGGACCGGTGATATACAAGCGAAGTTTGGGGGGCGATCGGACCGTGTCCATTGGAGTTACAGCGACATCGTGTTTTATGGCGAGGGATGCATTTCCATGGAAACGGCATATGATGACACCCCATAATTGATGTAGAGCTGTTGAGGGCAGGACTATTAACCATTATCTGAAGTCTGCTGCTCTGAGCATGTCGGTTGGAGTTATGACATCATCGTGTCCCATGACACAGGTGTTTATATTTCAGCTAACGACGTGTCCAGAGATCAAAGGTTTCCATGGTTATGTGCAGTATTCAGTGAGAGGAGAGCATTTTCATTGTTCTGAATGAGAGATAAACCTCTTACATGTGAACGTTTTGTTCACCGTAACAGATATCGGTGAAATTTCAAAAGCGTGAAGCATGTCAAGGAACTTGAGCATCTGAAGTGTACTTTTTGTGTACTTTCGGGTTAATAATGTGGCCTTTTTGGCAGATTAACTAAAGGTGTGCGGCTGCTGTGGTGGGGAAAGATGAGGCTGAACTTACAATGGGCCTTAATGGAGACATGTTGAATGTTTTTGTCACTTCATGCCCTCAAGAGGCATTTTATTAAAAAATGTTGCTTCATTTTTTTTTTTTTTAAACCTACGAGATGTTTTCCTACGTTTCTCATGAAAAATTATGTCTCAGGAATGTAGGGTTTGGGAATTATGGCAGGTTTAAAAGAAAATATGACGGCAAAATTAAATCTGTCCTCCACTCTAGCTGTGACATCACACACTCTAAAATCTGAAGAATGCCTCTTTACCAAGGTCTGAACAATGTTTAATATCTCTAAAAGTATGAATCAGATTTAAAAGTTGTGTTACACGAATGATGTCAGAAAGATGTGTAACATTTTGAAGTTGAAATGAGGATTCTGAGTGAAAGTATGAAGGAGCAGTTAGCAGTTGAAGTTGCATGAAGATTGTTCAAGTCTGAAGAGTTTCTGACTTCCATGTTAAAAATGTGATGAATTATGGGATTTATCTCTGGAATTATGAAAGTTATGAATAAGAAAAGTAATAGCCATTGATTCCCGACAGAGCTGAACGGTTTGAAATGGAGTTTCTGCAATGTGGAATGTGGGAGAAGAAGAGGCGCAAAATAACCCGGCTGAATAATAAAGAATTTTGTGCGTAGCATAAGGGATAGTTGGAATGCTGTATCAGCATTCCAACTTTAGAACTTAGAAATTCTGATCTGTGGCACATTATACTTGCTGTTAGCTTAGTTTAAACAAACCATTACTTACTAAAGGCCTATGTACCAAACCAGAATCAGAATCCGGCTATTTTAAAAATGTTATCCAACCCTCAAATATTTGTAGGTTTTCATTACTTTTTGGCCTATCTATTTGTATGTAAAAAACTAATAAACCTGCATCACATAAAAGAGGCCAACATAAATATGTCATATTTAGGACAGTGAAAGAGTTATTTCTTGTTATCCTGAAGGGAACATGGGTAATGAACCACATTTCAATGCATTACATCATATAGCTTACTTTAATTTAACAGAATGAACCACTGTTTTATATATAGACATATTTCTTGAACCATTGTGATAACAGGTTGACTGCTTTTACGTAGCAACTGCTCAGACAAGTCAAGCCTCAATGTCTCAGGTTAATGTTTGGATATTTACACTTCTGTGTGCGTTTGTGTTGCAGGTCTCTTGGGTATGGTGGCCCACATGATGTACACTCAGGTGTTTCAGATCACAGTCAGTCTGGGTCCAGAGGACTGGAGGCCTCACAGCTGGGACTACGGCTGGTCCTTCTGGTCAGTACACACACGCACACGATACGTGTTTATAGGATATATCAGGACTTGTGAACAAAACATGGCAAATTGTGACATGCCTTTCCCAAGGTCCTAGAGACCTGGGAATCAAAGTATTTAATATCTATGCTCCTAGGAAGACATCCAACTGTTGAGATCAGACAGACACACACACACACACACACACACACACACACACACACACACACACACACACACACACACACACACACAAACACACACACACACACACACATAATAAGTATATACCTCTAATTCAGGGGCAGATCTAGACAAATATTCATGGGGTGGCAAGAGGGTGGCAGGAGATTTTGAGGGGTGGCATTCCCTGGCAGAAGTATATGCTGATTTAATCGCAGTCATATCAATGTTAACTTGGAAAGCCACAATATTTATATTTTAACTCAATAACATTAGGTGACATTATTGTGGCACATCAGTAAAGCCTTAAATATAAATATACAAGGTGGCAGACATAATTGAATTAATTTTAACTGAACAATAACTGAATGAGTTTGTTTCACTCTTAGACCAGCAGGGGTACCAATATATGCAGACTGCTGCAATAAGTACATTAATTAACTGTCTCATTGATGTTTGTCTGAATTAATATGATACTATTAACAATCATATTATTCCTCTCAGCTGTCAATCACTGTTATGATTCACATATTCAGTGTTATTATTAAATAAACTATATTTTTTGGAGGAGATCATTTAGTTCCTCAAGATGCTTGCTCACCCTCCTTCAAATTTGAAAGACAAGTAATTACTATCATATATCAAAATATCCAAAGGAACAGTTCAGCTCCCCACGACTTTACTGTAAACAGTTACAACCTTGACTTTACATCAGAAAGAACAAACATTAAAGAAGTGACTAACTGCATCAGTTAGGGTTAAAAAACGTGTATTCAGCTAAAACATAAACATCGCTGCAGTTATTATCCAGTGGAAAGTCCTTACCTACTGGCCTAGTTAAATCAAAGTGGTTACTTTTTTTTGGCTGGGCAGTGAAGTTTTACACACCGTCTTATTTGACTTTCTCAGGACTTGAAACTGTTTGTTGGGGGCAGACCCCCACAAAGAAGAAAAATGTTATACACACGTAAGGTCATCATCTTAACAGTTTTGTTATGCTCATCGAGTCATCCGTGAGCAGAGCATTAAGTTGGCATGCCTATTACAGCTGAATGCGGCGATTACCATCTTGTTCAGCAAATCGCCTCACAAACTTATTAAGATCGAAAGCTTTAGTACGTTTTGATTCAATGCTGAGTACAGCCAAACTTGACGGTCTCTTCTCTGTCATATTTCCACGCTCGCGCCAGGGCTGGGGGAGGGGTTACAAGGCTCGCGTCTTGTGCTGCATTCACTTGCACTCGGACATTAGAGATTTTCTCTCATAAATGTCCGATGAGCCACAACTTTTCTTTCAAAACAAAGCTGCCAACTGGGGTGGCAAGGCATTTTTCTGAGGTGGCAGCTGCCACCCCGTAGAACCGCCACTGGTCTAATTTGGATCAAGCCTGTGGTGTTAGAAGAATGAACAATGGTGTTTGATTACAGCCTGGTCTCCTTGACATAAGGGCCAGCTGTGGTACTTAGGCGTGACTGGGGTGTAGGGTCTAGATGATCTACCAATCAAGGAGCCTACAGTTTGATCCCAACCCCTGCAGTTAACATTTCGCAGTTTCCTTGGGCAAGATACCTTACCCCAAAATAGGCATTACTACATTATTAAAGTACATGTAAGTCTCTTGGATAAAAGTTTCAGCTATATAATATGTAATGTAAGGTATTTGAAGACAATAGTAGGATATTGTGCAAAGTTAATTCTTACTTTGGTAAACACAATATTTGAGAATATTTGTGGTGAAATAGTTTTACTGTGATGCAGCCTTTGTAAACTACGCCCCAAAAATGTGGAACACGTTACCCATCAATATTAGGGAAGCCAATACGTTAAAAGGCAGCTTAAAACCTATCTCTTTACCAAAGCATTTTACTGACTTTACACTATTATACTGCACTATTTCTCTGTGATTGACATTGCACTATTTCTCTATGTTTTATTCCCCATGTTTTTATGTTTAATTATTTTATGTTTAATTATTTTCCACTATTTCGACATATACAATGAGTTGCCATTTTCCCCCGTCCTTATCGTTTCAGATCTTCACGTATATCTTCATGGTTTATTGCACTTATTCTAAGTTGCTTTGGATAAAAAAGTCTAAATTAAATGTTCAAACGCTCTTGTCTATTAAGTGAATGGTGATTTCAGAAAAAATGTATGTTTACATCTTAAATGTACATCTTTAAAACCATGACCTGGCTTGTCATTGTTTGATGATCATATGTTAGTAGTCTTCTGAAAGCAGACGTGTCTCTGTCCCTGCAGCATGGCCTGGGGTTCCTTCACCTGCTGCATGGCCGCCTCCGTCACCACGCTCAACTCCTACACCAAGACGGTGATCGAGTTCAGGCACAAACGCAAGCTGTTCGAGCAGGGCCTGCGTGAGGAGCAGAACTTTCTGGACCAGGAGGCCTTCCACTACTTTCGGGACCGCTCCATGCAGTCCATCTCCAGCACGGTGGAGGTCTACCCTGGCCACAGCGGAGCCAGAGGCGGGCTCATAGTCGGGGGGCAGTGTCCAGGGCCGGGGCCAGGGCTGGGTTCTGGTCCAGGACGGGGCCAGAGAGCCACGTCAGCCTCCATAGACCTGGGGGAGAACACAGACTCGCTGGGGGAGGAGCAGTGCTGAGTATCGGGGGGGAAAAGCTTATTTTGGTTCGAACTGTCCGGGTGTTCTGCCACCGAACACAAAAGCACAGCATACCTTATTTCATGAATACGATTAACTTGACAAGAAGAGACAGAGTAGTTGTATTAACTAACTTTAGAGAGGTGTGTTCTTTATATATTAAATGATAATTAATATAAAGTGTGAAAAACAGAGGTTTGGGAATTAGGATACTTCTCAGATGGAAAGTTCTCCAGCATATCTCAAGGAATTATGTGTAGAACAAAAGCACAGCAGCCCTTATTCCCTTTCATATAAGTTGTAACAAAATAATTGTTTTAAAGAATATTAGACAAATATGTACTTATTATATGAAATGCAAATCACCATTAAGTGGGAGAAACTTTTTGAGAGATTTTTGACTTTGAAATCTGGGAATTAAGATTCTTCGAGGACGTAAAACAGGTGTTCCAGTATATTTCAAGGTGCTATGTGTAGTATTTTATAGGATATGATAATACTTTATTGGCAGATAATGTGTACATTTTTCTTGCATTATAGCAGCTTCAATTTGAAATATTAACAAGGACAAATATTTACAACAAGAAACAAGGGAACAGACATTTATTCTAACTATGATATAAACCATTTTGATGAACTAAAGAGGGCATTTGTAACTCCTTTGGCGAAAAGCAGGAATAAAATGGATGCTAGTTAGTTACCGTATAAACGTTATATTGTGAAGTTACACAGGAATATCTAACATTAGCCCCTCTAAGCTAGTTCTATATTATATTTGTTCTAAAGCTACATTTTAAGGTACAAAGATGACATTAGAAGAGTCTTGGTGAATATCTTGGATAAGAGAGAAAACTAAAATTGCGATGAGGTGTAATGCATGCAGGTAGAACTAATGGGAGCTGTAGTTTTTGAATGCTGACAGATTGAATGTTGTAACTTTGTTAGATGATGGGTATTCGACTGAAGTTTTACACTCTGGATATTGTCTCTCATTCTCCCTTTGGCTTTCCGGAACAAAGAGGGACTGAAGTAGCACGATCTGTTAAAACACAAAATACTACACATAGCACTTTAAAACAGGTCTTGTCCAGGCCATGCTCTATTTATGTTGCGAACTGTGAATACTAATGTTGATTAAGTGTTATTGCTGTTTGTGGAAACGGAGTATTAAGACTCTTCTTTATTCCTCAGTCATTTTGCTGATCTGACTTTAATTACATTTGTCTCGAGTGTTTCGTCAACTTAATGTGTTGCTTAAAATAATACTTCTGCATACAGTATGTGACACTGTGAGTGTTGCACGGCCAGATACGGCTCAGCTGACTCAGATAAGGAGATATATGATACATTATGATGTGATATGCCGCGGACTGTACTTAATGTTACTCTGATCCGGTTACTTATGTTGTGGCAGATATTTAAGTAAGCTTTCTTAACGCTAATGTTATAATGGTCAGATTGCTCTGAAGATGGGAGGTGATATTCTATTAATGTTCACGTTCACACAGTCGGTGATTTTTGCCGACCGTCTTTCCTGCAACGGCAGCTTTTCTGTATTTCCTTTCTCCTGTAATATGACTTGATCGCTTTAAACTCCGCACACTGAGCTCTGATTGGTCAGCAGGCGGTGCTTTCACTGAGTTGAGCTCTTAGCCTGCAACCTAACCTGGTCCCGACCAGGTTAGCCGCTAAGCATAAGTTACCATGGAGATCTAGACTGCTAAAAAGAGAACCAGCTTCGTAGGACCGGAAAGCCGGAGTTTCCCTGAATTTAGCCGGCTAAGTGAAAATCCTGCTTCGTAGTATACCCCCCTGCACTAGTGGCCGTATTAAAGTCGTGATTGGTCAGATGTCGATTCATTGCAACTAGTGCTGCGTACCGGTACGCCGAACCGGTACTGGACTTGTAAAAAGTTTCGGTTCAAGTCCGGTTAAAACCGGAACGTCGGGAACCGGTACTCGGTACAGGCGGTGTTTTCACTGAGTTGAGCTCTTAGCCTGCAACCTAACCTGGTCCCGACCAGGGGGGTATACTACGAAGCAGGATTTTCGTTTAGCAAGATAACTTCTGGGATTTCCGGTACTACGAAGCTGGTTCACTTTTTAGCGGGCTAGATCTCCATGGTGACTTATCCTGGAACCTAGCCTGTGCTCCGAAGCCGGATAGGTTCCAGGATAAGAGATCAACTCAGCGAAAGCACCACGCCTGCTGACTGCTTCAGAGCAGTCTGACTATTATAACTATTATACTATTATGTTAAGAAAGCTTAATTAAATATCTGCCACAACATAAGTAACCGGATCAAAGTAACATTATGTTGCCTACAGTCCGCGGCACTGTGAGTGCAGACGTCGATGTGTCCCATTATCATTCATATCACATCATAATGTATCATATATTTCCTTATCTGAGTCAGCTGAGCCGTATCTGGCCGTGCAACACTCACAGTGTCACATAGGCTACTGTATGCATAAGTATTATTTTCAGGGCCGCTCCTGTCCAACTTGGGGCCTTAAGCGACATTGTGAGATGAGGCCCCCCCCCCCCCCCCCCAACCGACAGGAGTGAAAACATTTTTTTTGGAAACAAAGTAGGCTACTTTGCAAATATAATTCTTGTTTTTTTTTATTATCAACACAGTTACTGTTTTACACAGTGAGGTAAATGGTAAATGTGCATGTATGTCGTTCAGTATGCGTTTACAGGTGAATACGTCTGCATTTCCTGCCAAATACTAGCCTCAAAAAGATTAAAATATAATTAATGCAAATAAACTACTTCTACTAATAATAATCATAATCATAATCAATTCAATAATATAAATACTATATTATTTTATTATAATATAGTTGTAATATAGTCAAGACAAAACATCCTTATGACATGCTCAAAAACTGATATTTCTTAAATCTGTATATAGTTCCCTCTGTCAGCAATGTATCAATAACTACACACACATTTCTATCAGTATTTCTCTGTGTTGTGGTTGACATAATGATCACTGTTAGGAGTTAAGGGGAGAGGCTGAGCATCACCATGAAATGTGCAAATTGACATAAAAATGAATAAAAGGGGAAAAAATGCTCCATGTTTTTTAGGCTGTAAACTTTAACTGTTATGTAAGCCAACTAGACAGACAGTGTATCACTCTTCCTCCTGTACATTAGCAGATAAAAGGCATAACATACTTGAATGAATGTTAAATAAAGAATGCTGGAAATAACTGCATCTCCATTAACCTATATGCTATGCAGAGACTGCCTTCTTCATGTTATGAATTGCAGCTGATGTTTTAATATGGCAATTGGCAATTTGACTTATACAACATTCGCAAGTTGTACATTTGACTCATACAATAACCCACCTTCGAGTGATGCTCTAGTTTCTTCATGTTTTGTTTTTTTCCCCTCTTGCTTGCGCCGGACTGAAACTGTCTTTTCACCGACATCTCTTCACCTTGGGCCTGTACTACGAAGCTGGTTCAACCTAACCTGGATATGTTTGAGTTAGCTGGTTGGCCTAATCCAAAACATACGCGCTGTCGCTAAGCTGTACTACGACACTGGTTATCAAGTGGATCGCTCAAGCCAGCCGTGTCCTATCTAGTTAGGTGCGCGTTCACATGAAAGGGGTGGTATTTGGAGCATTCGACCAATCACAAACATGGAGAAGCGCACTGACAGCGCAGCGTCATACTTCCTGAATGAAAAGTTAACTTTAATACTAGTCAAATATGAAGAAGTTAAACTTTAAACATCCATGACTTAAACACTTTATCCAGGATAAAAGCCACATAGCTGCACCTGCAAGGTGAATACAGCTGGCAAAAGAAAAAGTGTTTGAATGCGTACATTAACAGGTTTATGATAACACTGCCCCGTCTAAAACACGATCTGACTTTAATTACATTTGTCTCGAGTGTTTCGTCAACTTAATGTGTTGCTTAAAATAATACTTCTGCATACAGTATGTGACACTGTAAGTGTTGCACGGCCAGATACGGCTCAAGAAGCTGACTCAGATAAGGAGATATATGATACATTATGATGTGATATGAATGATAATGGGACACATCGACGTCTGCACTCAGTGTACTTATGTTGTGGCAGATATTTAAGTAAGCTTTCTTAAGCTAATGTTATAATAGTCAGATTGCTCTGAAGATGGGAGGTGATATTCTATTCATTTTCACGTTCACACAGTCTGTGATTTTTCCCGGCCGTCTTTCCTGCAATAGGCGCATTCACACCGCAGTACTTTTCCCACAAAGGTTCACGAGAACTTAGCTCATGAGAACTCTTTTGTCACGTTCACACCAAAAAGAGCCGGTACTAAAATTAGTTTATGAGAACCTTTTTACCCCCACGAAAGTCCCTGCTAGAGAGCAGGGACTTTCGTGGGGGTAAACATTTTCCTATTTCTGATTGGCTGGGCGGAATGCAAACCACGCCCCGTAAAACTCCCAAAAAGTTTTGTGAAGCCGCCATTTTATTAGCATTATTAGCATTAGCCCAGCGCAGAAACGCAGAGAGACTAACTTAAGGCAACACAAAATAAAACATGGGAGCGGTGGAGATGAGGAGGTGTCGGTGTTCTGGCGATTTACTCGGAAGGCTTCAGTAGAAGCTGCTGGGAGTCCCAGCAGCTTCTACTGAAGCCAGTCCCCAACTCTGGGGACTTCCGGCCGGGGACTTTGGGCGGCCGGGGACTTTGGGCGGCAGTATACGGCGTGAAGTGGTTTGCGGCCTGCCAGTAAACCCAAAGCAGAAGAAGAAGTGACGTCAGCGGCTTCATTTGCCTAATCCACCCCCAGGGATTTATTCCGGTGTGAACGACATATGTACTTAGTTCATGAGAACTAAAGAGTTCTCATGAACTAAGTTCTCATGAACCTTTGTGGGAAAAGTACTGCGGTGTGAATGCGCCTATTGGCAGTTTTTCTGTATTTCCTTTCTCCTGTAATATGACTTGATCGCTTTAAACTCCGCACACTGAGCTC